ATTCAATACAAGCTCGAGCTCTGGATGCAAACCTTCCAGTGGTAACAGGAGAGGAATGTGGTCCCAAGGTCTAATGGAACAGTTTTTTAAAGAAAAAAACAAAAAAACAAAAAACAAAAACACAAGTGGGAATCTCCAAGCCTTGGAATTACATGATTGGGTAGGGAAGCTGACTGTTAAAACTATTGGCTTATTTCAGGTGCCAAGACCATAAACGGGTCTGGCCAGGCCATCTTGGCGGGTTGTCAGGAGTCAGTATCTCTTAAATGTAATAAGAAATGTAGCAAGCCTGGTTACTCCCTGCAGCTGGCCGGACATATCTCAACATGGCTTTTCCTTTGTTTAAACTTGTATCCAGGACTCCAGTTATGTGGCTCCAAGATTTGAATTTTAAATCTTGGATGTCTCATAATCAGTTCAATATACAATTAATTTTATTTGTTTCCCTCTGAACCCAATTTTAGAGTTTTCAAATTTATTTCATTTTATTTATTTATTTTTTACACTTGCATATTTGCATGTGTATATATGTGTGTGTGCTGTCTGTGCCATGGCACACATGGACAAGTCAACTTGCAGGTGTCAATTCTGTGTGCGATCCAACTCAGATCATCAGGCTTGGCAGCAAGCACCTTTCCCCCACTGAAATATCTTTTGTGTCTTCATTTTCTATTTCTATTTCTATTTTATTTTATTCAAGCAAAATGTTGTAATATCCTCAGTGCCCTTGAACTCACAGACTTACCCAGATGCCCTTAAATTTAGAGCCCTCCTGCCTGGCCTTCTATGTGCTGAAATTACAGGCATATGCTAACATTCGTCACTGATTTCACTTTTTTTTTTTTTAAAGCAAAATGTAATTAAATAGCAGGAAGATGTATTAGACAATTTCACTGTTTCCTAATCCATCCATGCCAATCACAGCTGTCCCATATGAGAAACCAATTTTGTTAATTTGTGGCTTTATCTTTCCAAAGCTTTTTGATTGGGACTGGAGAGATAGCTCAGAGTTTAAGAGCACTTACCACTCTTGCAGAGGAACTGAGTTCAGTTCTCAGCACCCACATAGCAGCTCACAACAGTAACTAAAGTTCCAAGGGACTCAGCATCCTCTTCTGGCCTTTCCAGGCACACATGTGGCACACATACGTGGAAGCAGGAGAACACTAATCCATTAAACTAAAACTAAGTAAATTTTTTTATACGAGACTTTTTGTCCAGAAGTTATTAATGTACATACCTTTTTATTTCTTTTTTCATTAAACAAATGTTGCATGTTATATACATTCTTTTGCCTTTTTCTCTATTTTTGTCCTAGCTAGTGTTTCTCAGGACTCACTCTGTATTGCTTATGGAGTTGTTTGGCTCCATGTGTATTGTTCATAGCTTAGATACCTTTGGGACATCTAACCAGTCTCCTGTGAGGGGTACTTTGATATTTTTTTTTCCCATTATACATATGGCAGCTTTTGGAAAGTGAACAGACTGTCTGAAGAAGAATTCAAACAAACCAGAAAAATTTTGAATTCCAACATCTTACAAAAATTTTGGTTTATATATTATCCATTCACCGGGCAACTGTTATTGGGTGTCGGAAACTGATATTGGTGCACTGTGATGTGTAAAAAATCACTTGAGTTAACGAGTGTGGATTACCTCATAGAGAAGTTGGGCACTTGATGTGAGGTAAGGATGATTGTGAAAGTGTTTCATGAAACTGTGAGTTTGTGTCATCTCTGCAACTGCACAGGCACTGTTAGTTCTTAACAAACTGACATAGGCTTGGGTCATTTGGAAAGAAAGAACCTCCATTAAGAAAATGCCTCCACCAGACTGGCGTGGATGCAAAGTCTGTGGGGCATTGTCTTGATTAGTGGTTGATGTGGGAGGGCCCTACCTATTTTGGGCAGTGCTACCCCTGGGCAGGAGCTCCTGGGCTGTATAGGAAAGCAGGCTGAACAAGCCACAGAAAACAAACCAGTAAGCAGCATTCCTCTGTGGCCTCTGCTTCAGGATTCCAGGTTCTGGACTTAAGTTCTTACCATGTTATCCTTCAGTGGCCGGCTTTGTCTCCAAGTTTTTTTTTTTTTTTTTTTTGTGTGTGTGTGTGTGTGTGTGTGTGTTTGTGTGTGTGTGTTTATTACCACAATAGAAAACAAACCAGGACAGATTTTATGAATAGTTATGTGCCCAATAATTAAAGTCTGTGCCTGCAGGTCTGAGGTTGATAAACTAGTGCCCTACTTTGCTTTTTGTTGTTGCTGTTATAAACACTGTGACCAAAAGCAACCTGAGAAGGAAACTTTAGCTTACAGGTTGCAGCCCAATCACCAAGCAAAGCCAAAGCAGGAACTCAAGGCAGAAGCCTGAAGCAGAGACTGGAGGAATACAATTACTGGCTTGCTACCAGGCTACCTTTACTGTACAGCACAATCCCATTTGCCCTAGGGATGGTACTGTCATCAGGGTTCTGGACTCTCCTGCATCAATTAGCAGTCAGAAAATACCTCCATAGACAGGGTCAGATCAGCAGTCTAATGGAGACAATCTCCATTTGAGGTACCATCATCTTGAATGTGTCAAGCCGACATGCAAGATTAGTCATCACACACAGGGGTTTACTTTTTCAAGTTGATAATCTTAAATATATATAGGGCACATAACACATTCATATCTATAATGTATATATGTGCACATAAAATATATACCTAGCTCTTTTTATCTGAGAGATGTGTGAATTTAAACAACTTCAGATAAAATATATAAAAAAAATAATTGTATCTGAATAAAACATATAAAGGCTTCCCCCCTTTCATTAATCCCTTAAAAAAAAACCTTAACAATTATTTACAAAATGTTAACATGTATTAGACATTATAAAGAAACTAGAAATTATTTAAAATATATGGGAGATTATGTGTAGTTTATATGAAAATATTCTGGTGTCTGCTAAAAATCCTATATGTACTGAGGAAATAATGTATGTATGTTGTTTTAATTTTTTTAGATTTATTTATTTTCTGCATATGAGTGCTTTGCCTCTATCTATGTATGTGCACTATGTATATGCCTGCTGTCCACAGATGTCCAGAGAGGGTATCAGATACCCCAGAACTAGAGCTGTGGATGGCTGTGGGTAATAGAAGTTTGGGTTTCTTTAAAAACTCAGTTATTTGTAAACATGTTTTTTTTTTTTTTTTTTAAATTCCAAGTGTGGGATTTTCATTTGGGCTTTAGTTTGTCTACAGCTGATAATTGCCTTGTGTGGGGCATGGTCTTTGCCAGCTGGCAACAGCCTGTATCATGTGGCACAGAGAGAGGCATGGTCTTTGCCAGCTGTAGACAGTTTAATTCTGAGGACTCTGAGGGGTATACATACAGGAGCCTAGACATAGAAAGTATAGCAGCTTGGAGGACAGAGGAAGAGAGAGACTCTTGATGGTGGTAGCAGTTTGGAGAGTACAGAGAGAGACAGTTCAAGGTGGTGGCTTGGTGGACAGAGAAAGAAGGCTTCAGTTGCTGTTGATATCCTGACTACGGAGATTGGTATTGCCCCCAAAGAGCCCATCGACTCTAAGCAGCCAGGAGAAGTAAAGAGGTCTATGCCCCTTTCTCCAGCAACCTTTTTTTCTCTCCCAGCTAGTGTTGGCATGTCAATAGGGATTGGGGAGGAGAAGGGAGGTAGAGAAAGCAAATAACCCAAAATAAAATAGAATTTAAACACTAGTGTCTACAGTTGTGAGCCACCATGTGGATGCTAAGGAATGAGTCCCAATTCTCTGCAAGAGCCAAAGGTGCTCTTAGCCACCGAGTCATCTCTCCAGCCCTAATATATATATATAATATATTAAAGAATGTATTATTGTGTGTGATAAAAGTGAGCATTTTAATATTTTATTTATACATATTTATTTATACATGAGTTAAAATTTATTCTTAAAATGTTTACACTTACTGAGTTATTACCATAATTGAACTCAATTCTTCCAGGAAATGGAGAAAAAAAAAACAACCCAAAAACCAAAAAAACAAGGCCAGTGCTTTGCTGACATTCAGGAGGAATGTTAAGCTTACTATACTTAATTCTACATTGAAAGATTGTTTTGATGCTTTTTATGTTAAGGCGCAGGCTGCAGTATGGGGTATTTAATGGGGGGCATTAATACGCAATAGTTAAATAGATTATTATTTAATAGTGTGTATTTTGCACTGGTTACCGAACAGGTCTCCCGTCACTTGGATTCCTATTTCATACAGCAGCTCTGTGAATAGCACGGGAAGAATGAGATGGTCTTTAAAAAGTCATTTGTCATGTTTTAATGGCAGGCTCCTGTCGACCAAGAAGATGCTCACATGAGCTGGTCCGTAAGCAACACTGGAAACTGATCACACAGTTCAAACCCTCCGGTAGCTAAAACACTACCAATTTTCGAAGGTCACAGAGCATTTCCTGTTCAGCAGAAGCACAGAACATCCATCCCTTCTGAACACATTCCTTCTTGCACTGTCAGAGAGGAGTGGAATTACGGACCAAGAACCCAGTAAGTTTGGTTTCTTCTATCCAGGGCCGACCCTGCAAGATGCTGGAGTCAGCAAAAAGGAAGCAGAGAAATGAGTAATGCAGACTGCAAAGGATGGAGCTGTGGGTGCAGGGAGGGCTGGCCCGGGAGGTGAGCACTTCCTAACTAGTAGTTGCTATTTTAAGTGGTGGTTATCACCGCTATCAGCATTGAGTGTTCGTGTATAATCACCACTGCCACCTTCTTCAAGGTCCCCTGTCTTTCCCCGTCAAGATTTCCACCTCCAGCCAGCAGCTCCGGCCTGGGTGAGTCATTTCCAGAAGAGCCTTTCTGGAGTGTCCACGTCCCAGAAGACAGGAAATCCCCTTTGGAAATCCTTCTAGCAGCACGGCCCACGGCCCTTTGCGCGCGCCCCCTGTGGGTGACGACCGTGCCCTCGGGTTTCGGGTTCCCGGGTTCGGGGTGCGGGCGGCCCCGCCCTCCACCCGCTGGGCCCGCCCAGCTCCTTGACGCGGGCGCCCTGCCAGAGGGTCCGCGGCTCTCCACCGAGGACCATGGCGAGGCTGAGCTGGGGATACGGAGAGCACAACGGTGAGCGCGGGCTCCAGCGGGGGCGGGTGGGCGCCGGCGGGAGCTCTGAGCCCGGTGGGTGGATGGGGGCCTTGGGTCCGGTCCCCGCCTGCTCTCTCTGGAGCGGACGGGGGTGTTCGGTTCATTCACTCGGGAAGTTCGCCGCCGTCCGGAGAAAGCCCCAGAGCTCAGAAGTCAGATGACACATTTGTAAGGAAATAGGGACAACTTGAGCGAGGCAGGAGCACTGATCACTGAGTCACGAGACACCTTCCAGAAGTCCTCGGAGCAATCTTAGTAACTTGTAATTTGCATGCTGACTTGAAGCTTACTTGGGGCTTGTTCTTCACTCTTCCCTTTCAGAGACCAAGTTTTAGCAAACGATTGTAGACATTCTAACATGTTGTATTTACCGATAATCATGGCAATGAGGTATGTGCTTATCTTCCTATCGAAAATGTATTAGAGATAGAACATTCTTCTTGTCTACTGAACTGATGGCTTCAAGGGATCATTCAAAAGAATTGCAGAGAAACCAGGAATGCATTGATAGAAGCCTTTCAAAATGGGGTTTGTCACTGGTAATATCAGAAACTTCAACAAGCATATAAGTTATTGGATAGTATTCTGCAGTACATTTTAAGGAAGTTTACTGAGAGTTTTTCTTTTATTTATTTATTATTTATTTATTTATTTATTTATTTATTTATTTTTCCCTTTTTGTGTTTTGAGACACTACTCTTTAGCTCAGACTATGTTTGGAAAAATTTTATTTCTTACTGCAGCCTGCTTAAGATTGTTATGACTAATGTTGCCTTTAAAATGGCATCGAATAAAGACTAGAATTCTAATAATGAAGCTTATAATTTGGGTGAGTGCCTTTTTGACTGAGGCCACGATAGTAATCGTACGTTTTACTACCTGTTAGTTTGTGTTTTTGAAAGGCAATCTTAACACATTTTATTTTATTTTATTTTTATCTCTGATGGTGTCATTTTTATTGTGGTTATTGGCAGTTATTAGGCGCGAGTGCTTGTGCCCTCACTGCGGTTAGGGAGAAGGTTGTGTTGGCCGGTAGGTAGTGGTTGTGCCCTAACAGATAGAAAAAGTTCTGATTTCAACACAATTCTTCCCCATAAAATAAAAAATAAAAAAAAATTCACCTTAGAAAGGGCGTTAAGGAGGAGTCATTTTACCTTTTATTTATTTTTAAAATGAGGAAGCATCCCCTTGCCCATTGTAGAAATGTTTGCATGTTGTGACACATGCATGTAATGAGAACTCTGGAATTTTGGTTTCTTTTAAAAGATACAGACATATTATAAGGAGTTCTTGTTTTAATCCCAGGCGTGGGGATGTGGGGCTGCCTGAGACTGTCCTTAGCAGCTGACTATGATTTGCCTCGTGCTCTAGCAGTCGCTCGGTTTTGCCAGCTGCAGATACTTTTTTTCTTCTTCTGACATTTGGAATTCTGGGAACTTTTCAGAGGGCATATAAATGCTAGAGTCCTGAAGGGGAGAAGATGCTTTATCCCTTGTCAAGTAGCTGAGCAACCTGTACAAGATCCATGGATCCTCAAAGTAAAAAAAAAAAAAAAAAAAAAAATTGGTTTTTCTCCACAAGACCTCCTTAGTTCCAGTTACTCTGGTTCCTAAGATGAGAAGATGATTTATTACTGGCATTGAAAAGGAACAGACCTGGTCCAACCAGAACCAGGCAGGCTCTGTGGAGCCTTAGAGCCTTGCCCTTTGAAGCCTGTGAGCCCTTTTTCTGTGTTCTCCACCTCCTATATGACCTATATGACCCAACCTGACCTGGCCTGGGTCCATGGAGACTTGGAGCTTTTTTTTTTTTTTTTAATGTTTTCTTCATGAGAACTCCATTCCTGGGTTGGTGGTTGGTGGTTGTTCAGGTTCAGGGGGCTTGGTTGCAGTTTGTCAGCAGTCATGCCCAAAGAAAAAGAAAAGGAAAGAAATTAGATTCAAGGATCTCTTTCTGTCCTCTAGCCTTCTTTCTCTCCTATCCAGTGATAGGGGTGAAACTGGCGATAAGGGGTGATAAAGGGTGGGAAAAAGAAGAATGCACAAAGTAGCAAAGACCAGCTACACATGCATTTCATGTCTGAAATCTGGTGCTTGTTAGATTAACTGTCTGTAGTGGTCATGAAAGAGAAAGATTTATTTTCAATAAGAATACAACATTGTGAATAGAAAGAGTACTCACACAGAAGTGCTCTTTAAGAGCACTTTCTTCCTCCTCCTCTCCTATCTATCTATCTATCTATCTATCTATCTATCTATCTATCTATCTATCTA